GCACGCTGGGCGCCGCGAGGAGGAGGAGGAGGAGGAGGAGGGAGGAGGGGGAGGAGGAGGAGGAGGAGGAGGAGGAGGAGGGGGGGGAGGAGGAGGAGGAGGAGGAGGAGGAGGAGGAGGAGGAGGAGGAGGAGGAGGAGGAGGAGCGAGGAGGCGCGTCGGGGGGGAGTCCGCTCGCCCCGAGCCCCCGCCGCTCGCCTGCCCGCCGGCTCAGTCAGGAGCCGCCCACCGCGGCCGAGCAGGAGGCCGCGCCGGAGGCGGGGGACGACGACCCAGGCGGCCTCGCCAGGGGCAGCGTTCCCTCGTCCTCGTCGTCGTCGTCGTTCGTCGTCGTCGTCGTCGTCGTCGTCGTCGTCGTCGTCGTCGTCGTCGTCGTCGTCGTCGTCGTCGTCGTCGTTCGTCGTTCGTCGTTCGTCGTTCGTCGTCGTCGTCGTTCTTGCAGCTGCCGTCGCGTCGCAGCCGCCGCGGCCGCCGCTTGGCCGCCATCGACGCCGGCCGCCGCTGGCCGCCGCTGGCCCTCGCCTCCGCCGCCCGCGCAGCGGTCACCGACGGCGTCGCCGCAGCGGCGGCCGCCGCCGAGGCCGCAGCAGCGGCCTCGGCGGTCGCGGCGGCCACGCCGCGGCGGCATCTGCTGCGCGGAGGGTTCGAAAGGTTGCCGCCCGTGGTGGGGCGGGAGGCATAGGCTCGGAGGCTCGAGGGTCGGGGCTGGCTCTCTGGAAGCGCCTGCCCGCATGCTCAGCGAGCGACGCAGTGCAGGAACGGTGGGCTCTTATTTTTCACCGCCACCACCATGAGTAGGAGCGGGAGGGGGTTCTCTTCTCCCTCCTCCTCCTCCTCCTCCTCCTCCTCCTCCTCCTCCTCCTCATGCTCGACCTCCTTCCCCCTCCGACTTCTCCAGCTTATGGTGGTGATGGTGGAAAACAGGCCCATCAAAGAAGTTGGTTCTGATGCCCGGACACTCGAGCGTAAGCTGCCCGCGCAGAGGTGGCGGGCAAGCGCCCTCGTTTCCAGCATGGCGCTTCACGCTGGCGGCTTGCGGAAGCCATCGCTTGAGGTCGGTATGTTTAAGTCGGGCATGTCCTTCTACCGGAGGAATGTTCAAAAATAGTCCAACGTGGTCAGGGGACAAATGTTCTACTGTTACGTGAATGTTCCTGTATGTTTGGGCTATTTTCCATTTGTCTTTCAACATTCGCCTGTCGGAGGACATGCCCGACCTGAGTCTAGCGTTTTCGTCCCAGCTGCGTCGCACCCGCGTTCCCATCCGCCTCCCCATTTCCCTTTCCCTGCCACCCGACGTAACAGAAGTTGAGAAGAGAGACGGGGGCGGAGGCCCCCGTCTTCTTCTTCATCAATCAACGCAGTGAGATTGACGAGCTCCTGGAAAGGCAAGGTTGTCTCGGTCTCAATGGACGAGAGCAGCCCCGCTGGGGCTTCGATCGCCGCAGGGGACGCCTCCTTGACCAGACGCGGTGGCATACCATCAACGCCTCAACCTCTGCGACCAGGCATGACTTTCGGCACCTTCTGAGCTTGCACAGGGGCGATTGGTTCAGAGGGTGGTTGAGTACGGGCGGCAACCCTCCAGGCCGCCAGCGCCTGCAGAGACTCCATCCTAGTTTGCTTCCTCTAGATGGCGCCCCAAGCCTCCGACTCGACTAGAAGAACGTCACCGGCCGAAGCGGCTCGGTTCCCTTCGAAAAGAAGTGGTTCCTTGAGCCCCGCAACACCGACGGGGGCCTTTAGAAGCCTGTTGGTCGCAAGAGCCAATCCTGACAAGGTTCCGAACGCCAGACTTTCCATCGATCTGGCCTCCGCAGCAGCCCGCCTGGCCGCAGACCTGGCCCTGGACCAGGGCATACTCGTGGAGCTGATGGAGCCGTTCAACAGGAATGTCTCTGAATTGGGCGAACCACCTGACTCATGAGTTAGGTCCGGGGCTTCAATACTCTTCAAGTTCCCTCGGCCCCGACGACGGTTCCCAAACTGGGTGGCATGCTCAGGTAGAGGAGTGGCCGCAACTGGTGGATTGGCATCAAGGTCGCATGGTCTGATCCATTGCTGGAGTTGCATCCCCCAAGCAGTGCCAACAGCGAGCATGGCGATCCGCCAGGCGTGGGCCTGGGGCCTGACGGTTTGATGCTGGGCCGGGCACAGTGCAGCTGCAGGCCCCTTTCGACATGAGGGAGTTTATTCGATATCGTTTAACCGATCCCCATTCCCATCCCCTTCCCCTTCGAGACCCCCACCAAGTTACCCCTCCAGTTGCGGATACACTCCTCGGAACCCGAAGGGAACAGCCTATATCCCCATCTAGGGGGGAACATCGGCCAGTGGGGCCCAGGCCACGCCGCTGGGGATGGGGATCTCTGAAACGATGCTCATTCATGACATCGGTGGGCCTCCTTGACCTCGCCCAGGCATCTGTGGGCCTCCGGTGTCCAGGCCCTCCACGTCTTCTTGGCCCCCGGACCTCTCAGGCTGCGTCAAGGAAGTCCGCCCGGGGCTGCAGCGCGGGGGGCGGCCACCGCCCGCCGGGTTGTCCTGTGCCGAGGCCCCGAGAAGGGGCAGAGGGCATTTTTTCCACGTGCCAGGGTCCATTCGGGCGTGTCCCTCTACAGGAGGAGTCGTCAAAAATGGTGAGATGAATAGCCAGGGTGCGATTTTGAGCATTTTGTGGCAATCTTTTTTGCGCATCTTTTGGAACATTTCAATTCTAGACGCTTCGCGCATCCCCACCAGCCCATCTAGACACGACGTCCAGGCGAGTTGAGGTGATCAGGGAAGTGCGGCAGCAACGAGGGGGACGGCCGAACCGTGCAAAGGAGAGAGGCGGAAAAGGAGGAGGTGGATGGATGGATGGATCAGGAAGTGGGAAGAAGGAGGATGAATAGGATGAGGAGGGGGCGGAGGAGGAGGAGGAAGAGAAGGAGTCGGAAGAGGAAGGAGGAACAGGAGGAGGAGGAGGAGGAGGGCAAGCACAAGGGCCAGATGTCTCTTGGATGTTTTTCGGAGCCTCTTGAGGTATCTCTTGGGCGCCTTGGGACGTCTTGGGGGTCTCTTGGCGGTCGTGGGGGGCTCTTCGGCGTCTGGGGTGCCTCGGGGGGCCTCTTGGGGCCGCTTGGGATCCTTTGGGGGCCTCCTGGAGGCCTCTTGGGGGCCTCCTAGAGGCCCTGGGCCTCTTGGGGCCATCTTGGGGTCATCTTGGGACCTCTTTGGGCCTCTGGGCGCTTCTTGGGGCCATCTTGGAGGAGATCGATCAAACAAGAGGGGAGCATGAATTAGGGTCCCCCCCTCAGGAGGCCAACATGGGGCCAACACCATAGTAAAACCAATGATTTTGGCTTTCTCGCCGACGCCGTTTTGGACGCTCCGACGACTCGCGAACCCCCCCGTCCAGATCCATGGGGAGGGGGGAGGGGGAGGGGTAGACCCCTCCCCGAAGGGGAAGGAGGGGTGGACGAGGAAACTCTCTCAACCACCGACGCCCAGAGGGCTGGTGGGTTTTTTCGCCCCAAATCCGCGTGCGTACGGGGGACATGCCCGACCTGATGCCAGGGCCCGAGCGCGCACCTTGGGCGTGGCGCCTCCCTTGGTCCGGCGGGCCCTTTTCTACGGCTTGGGGAGGCGTATAAGCGCGCAGGCGCTGCCCGAATCTCGCGGCATGGCCTCGTCCTCGAAAGCTGGGCGCCCGACCCCTGGTTGGGCCAGGGCGGCTGGTAGTGGAGCCGAGGAATGAAGGAGCTCGCCCCGTCGCTGCCGGAGGCCAGGAGCACGTCGCCAGTACGGGGGGGCCTCTCCCTTGGAGCCCCCCACAGGTCCCCGGGCAACCCCCGGACGACCCCCGGACACCGTGGACACCCCGGACGGGGTGCCCTGGGCACTCCGGACACCCCGGACACCCATGGACGCCCCAGACACCCCGGACACCCCGGACAACAGCAGCAATTAATGTCACGACGGGACATTCCGACGCTTCCCTCTCGATCCTGAATCATTAGCGCCAGTTATTCTTAGCGGCACCATGACGAGCGGAAGCCGGCAGAACGGGCGGCCAACGAGTCGCTGGAGCCGGATGTTTTTTTGCTGATTGACAGCCAGAACGTACCGGTACATGGGATTAGCCAAGGGGATGCGGCGTTAACTCAGTTTTTTGATCGGCTTGATAATCAGACCAGCATTCTGAAGGCCGTTGCCCATATGTGCAACGAATCGAACGTCATCGTCACCGGGTATCTTAACGAGGAGAAGGCGCGCCGGGATATGGCCGACCAGGACATGGCTACGTTAACAATTGGACGTGACGGCTCGAACCGGCGAATTGGCGAGCTCGAGCCGCAAGTCAAGACGCTGGGCGCCAACGTCGACGGTTTCAACCGCATCAAGACCAGCAGACGGCCATGCCCAGGAAGTGAAACACCGCAAGACTGCAGGCAACGCCACGGCGATCGTGAGGTCATCGCGCCAGATCGGGGACCAGAGACAGGGTGGAGCAGTCGTTCGAGCCCGCTCCTCGGCTCACAGTGGCCGCGGCATCCTCCGCGTTAGATGAGATATCGAGCCGCGCAGACTCCTCCTCCCATGGCGAGTTAACCGATGCTACCCTCATGGGCCCTCCTCCTCCTCCTCCTCTTCCTCCTCCTCCTCCTCTTCCTCCTCCTCCTCCTCCTCCTGTTGGTGTCAGGGCGCTGCCGCCACCCGCGCCTCAAGCGTCGCCCTGGGCCAGGGTGGCGCCGCAGTTGCCAGCGACTCCGAAAGCGGGGTCACCCGGCAGAGCGGCGCCGATGGCACGGGCGCCCAAGCAAGCTCTCTCGCTGGTTTCAGCGGCTGGAGCTCTGGGCGAACCGGCGCGGCGCGATCGTTCGAGATCTCTGATGTGTCAAAGCCTGTTTCCGGAACCGTCCACCCAGCGACGCGGGTGCCAACGGAGGCGGGTTAGCCCCGCCACCGCCGGTAGGAGCTGCGCGCACTCCAGCGCGTCCTCCTGTGCCAGTAGCGCCAGCCAAGGTTAAGGCCAGGGCCATTACTGGCAAGCGCCGTCGGACACAACTTTGCGCAGGCACAGTTCGAGAGGAGGGTGGCAATGATGAGTTCGACACCAGTTTCGCTCCGGTCCTGGGGCGTTAGAAGTGATTCGTGACGAACGAACAACGAAGGGAGGAAAACGCACCCGGACCGGACAATTGGCGTTTTCTAAACCGCCCTGCCCTGTTCGAGATTCCTTCTCTGGGCGCGTTTACTACACGGCCTCGCGCGTCGGGGTGGTTGTTATCGGGGTGGCTTTTCTGCCCTCTAAACAGCGCGCGCCCATGCCCATGGAGGGTCGGAAAGGGCCATGGGCGCGCGTTGCCGGATGGGGGCGTCCGCTCGAACGCGGGCCTCCCCCGACCCCCGAGGTCCGACAACACCGCGCCCGTGCCCGCGGCCGGACCCCCTCCCCTCGACCCCCCTCGTGGGTGTGGGTGCGTGTGTTGTTCGTTCGTCAGTTATCGGTATCGTTGAACCGATCCCCATCCCCATGCCCGTCCCCTTCGAGACCCCCACCAGATTACCACCCCAGTTGGGGTACACCCTCGAAACCCGGAGGAAACGAGCTATATCCCCATCTAGGGGGGTACATCGGCCAGTGGGGCCCAGGCCACGCCGCTGGGGATGGGGATCGGTTAAACGATACTCAAGTTAGCTCAGGTCGATCGTGACATCTTGCGGATTCTGTTGGTTCACAGGTCGGATGCTCACCGATCGCGCGAGCTGATCGATGCCGTTGGACACGTCATCGCGCGGGGTGCACCGCGACAGCTTGAGATTTCGCCGCGGCGATGGTCACAACATGTCACCATTGCCTCAGGGGCCGCGTGCGTGGAGAAATGAACTATCGGCCCAAAGGCTGGCTGCGCATGATGCGTGGCTCAAGCAAATTCGCCACCCCCAGGCGAAGTTACCCGTGTGCAAGGGCTTTTGCGCCGCGGAACCCGAGGGACCTCGCGCCGCCGCTCACTGAGCACACTCCTACTTGCCAACGTCCACATCGCATCCAGGACGAGTCCAGCCAGAAGCAGCTCGGCCCCTTCCTTCGTACCAGTTTTTTGGCCCCGGAATTGGGACATTTGCTTCGCGCTCCGCTCCATCTCCTTCCACTTCTCCTTCCCTCGCCTCCTGTTTGTTGGTTGTTTCCGTTCGGAGGTTTCCGCACGTTTGCCCGAGATGATCGGGCGCTTCGCCCCTCCACCCTCCTCCGTGTCTGGGCTCCCTCCTCGAGCCTCGGCCCCTGGGGCCGTGCGAGAGGGCCCCAGAAGCCCCTGCGGGCCCAGACGGGGAGCGCGCACAGGAGGACGAGCGCGGCAGTGCTCTTCGGGTTGGAGGCGGAGGCGGAGCCGTGCGACCCCGGCGGCGCGACACGCATACAGCATCGTGCAACATGCAAGCCAGGCCTGTCTCTCTCTACAGGGGGAATGTTCAACAATAGTCAAATGAGCAGTGTGGGGACGATTTTAAGGATTTGTTTCGATCATGTTTGGGTATTAGTTGATTATCTGTTTGTCCAAAATCCCCCTGTAGGGGGACATGCCCGGCCTGAATGGAAAGTCATGACTGGGGTCCCAGACCCCCAATTCCCGCATCCTTCCTCGAACTGGATCGATCAGCGAGGGCTCATGGGCCCGCAGCTGGGCGAATATCCGCCCGGCGCGGCCAAAACTGCGACGCCAGGATCTCCGGAAGGAGCAAGAGGAGGGCGGATCGACCTTACTCCCAAACACGGCAAGACGATTTAACAGTTGAATCGTTATTAAACGGACCGCGTTAATCGTTAGAGTTATCGTTCGATTTACCGTTAGATTTGACCGTTAATCGTTAAAACTGCTGCTGCTCGCGGACCCGTTAAATTTTAACGGGTCCGCGAGCAGCGGCAGAGCTCCATGCAGTCAGAAAGCTCAATTTGTGAGGGAAGGAGGGGGAGAGAAGGAACGAAGCTTGGGATGCCAGAGGTTTTGACCACTTCCCCAGGACTGGCTTTCCATCCCGAGCGTTCAATTGCGGCCCCTGCAGCCCGGAACTGCCGAAACCCCGCCCGTCGCGCTTCTCTATTCCAGCGCGAGGGGGTCTGGGGAGGAGGATGGGAGGCACACGGACCGCTTCTCCCCTAAGGAGGCGGAGGAGGAGGAGGCGGCGGAGGAGGAGGAGGAGGAGGAGGAGGAGGAGGAGGAGGAAGAGGAGGAGGAGGAGGAGGGAGGAGGGAGGGAGGGAGGGAGGGAGGGAGGGAGGGAGGGAGGGAGGGGAGGGAGGGAGGGAGGGAGGGAGGGAGGGAGGGAGGAGGAGGAGGAGGAGGAGGAGGAGGAGGAGGAGGAGGAGGAGGAGGAGGAGGAGGAGGAGGAGGAGGAGGAGGAGGGAGGAGGAGAGGAGGAGGAGGAGGAGGAGGAGGAGGAGGAGGAGGAGGAGGAGGAGGAGGAGGGAGGAGGAGGAGGAGGAGGCGGAGGAGAGGAGGAGGAGGAGGAGGAGGAGAGGAGGAGGAGGAGGAGGAGGAGGAGGAGGAGGAGGAGGAGGAGGAGGAGGGAGGAGGAGGAGGAGGAGGAGGAGGAGGAGGAGGAGAGGAGGAGGAGGAGGAGGAGGAGGAGGAGGAGGAGGAGGAGGAGGAGGAGGAGGAGGAGGAGGAGGAGGAGGAGGAGGAGGAGGAGGAGGAGGAGGAGGAGGAGGAGGAGGAGGAGGAGGAGGAGGAGGAGGAGGAGGAGGAGGAAGGAGGAGGAGGGAGGGGAGGAGGAGGAGGATGGAGCGGAGGAGGGAGCGGAGGGAGGGAGGAGAGGGAGGGAGGGAGGGAGGGAGGGAGGGAGGGAGGGAGGGAGGGAGGGAGGGAGGGAGGGCGGGAGGGAGGGAGGGGAGGGAGGGAGGGAGGGAGGGGAGGGAGGGAGGGAGGGAGGGAGGAGGGAGGGAGGGAGGGAGGGAGGGAGGGAGGGAGGGAGGGAGGGAGGAGGGAGGGAGGGAGGGAGGGAGGGAGGGAGGGAGGGAGGGAGGAGAGGGAGGGAGGGAGGGAGGGAGGGAGGGAGGGAGGAGGAGGAGGAGGAGGAGGAGCTCCACCCCCCCCCTCCGTCTTCAGGCGGCGACGGCGACCCGCGCAGCGCCTTCTGCCAGGCGCCCGCGCTCGCGCCGAGCCGCCGCGCCGCCCCAGCTCGGCCCCTTTGGCGCGTGCCCGGCTCCCTCGCGTGCCGAGGGGGGTTGCCGCCGAGGCCTCCCGGCTCGGGCGGCGGCGCCTGCTGCGCAGGGGGCTCGGAAGCCACGGCCCCCACGAGGGCGCGAGGTTACAGTGGAAGCCCATGCCAGGAAGCACCCGGCTTGCCTCCAGGTTGCCCCTGTTGGGCGCTGCGTAATGGGGGGGTCATAAATGGGGGGGTGGCGAGGGTGGTTCGAAAAGGTACCCAAACGGTACCTAAACGAGCCCCCTGGGGCTCTGGAGGGGCCCGAAAGGGGCACGAAAGGGGACCTTTTCTGACCCCCCCATTTGTGACCCCCCAATAAGCCACGCCCAACCCTGGGTTTCTTGGGTTTCGACGGTGTTGCTATGGAGAGCGCGGCGTTTCCGCGCCAAAGGTCAATGGACGTCCTGGTGTCGCAGGGTTGGGGGGCTCTCGTGGAAGGTTTCTCGTGGTCGAGCTTCTGCTGCACTCGCGCTTCGCGGTTCGCGGTCTGCTCCCCTCCTCCTCTTCTGGGCAAGCGTGCAACGGAGACGACACGAGTTGGCGAAGGTGCGCCTGTCGTCGATACCCTTCGCGTGCCGATCAGCACGAAGGAGGTCTGACTGAGGAGGGTCACGTCGTGTGCATTCACCATGCGTTCCGACGGAAATGTCTGCCCGGCTGGGGCCCTCTTTGAGCACAGACTGACAATTAGTTCGGGCTCGTGAGTTCGACTTCCATGAAGAAAATCACGGACCACTGATTCCTCGCTTCGCGGGGTGCACCTCATCATCACGTGCAACCCATCTGTTGCGGGGCTTGGTGGGAGCCCCTTCGGGGCCTCCTGGAGGAGGCCCCTCGGGGGCCCCTTGGGGGCCTCTTGGGGGCTGCTTGGGGGCCTCTTGGGGCCTCTTGGGGCCGTCTTGGACTTTCTTGAGGTGCTCTTGCGCGGTCTGGCCCCTCGGGAGGCCGTCCTGTGGGCGTCTCGCGGCCGTTTTGGGGCTTTCTCGGGGTGTTCCCTTGGGCCGTCTTGGGGGCCTCGAAGACCGTCTTGGGGGTGTCTTTGGGCCGTCTTGGGGTCCTCCTGGGGCCGTCTCGGGGCCCTCTTGAGGGCTTCTTGGGTCGTGTTTGGGCAATTCTGGAGGCTGCTTGGGACGTCATGGGCCCCTGAGAGTTGAAAAATGCGAGAACGCTAAACCCCTTCAACATCCAATGGACAAGCAATGAGTTTGGCATCTGGAGGCGCTCTTGGAGGGCCTCTTGGGGCCCTCTCCGGCCTTCTTGGGGGCTTTTTGGGCCCTCTTGGGGCCATCTGGGACCGCCTTGGGGTCGTCTTGGCCCGTCTTGAGGCCATCTTGGGTCATCTTGACGCACTCTTCGACCCCGAAGAGGCCCCAGGGTCCCAAATCATAGATTTCCCATCGGTTTTTGTGAGTTGTGAAGCCTCGAAAGGGGTTCTTCTCTTGAGGGTTGATGGATGTGGGGTGGCCCCAGGGGCAGGTTTAAGAGGTGGAGACATCATAATGTAGAATAATAGAAGATGTATCAATCATGCAGAAATGCGAAACATGGGACTTGTGCATTAATTGGATACCTTGGATACGTTGTATTAAGGCGTTCGCCGACAAACGCTGCCGCTCCATTGCGTTACAGCATCCGCGGACCTGCCTCGGGCCACACGTCACTTCAGACGTGGATTCCTCTTGCTTCGCGGTGTGAACGTCAGGAGCACGTGCAGTCCAGACATTGTGGGGCTTGGTGGCAGCCGCTTTAGGGCCTCTTGGAGGTACCTCGGGGGCTTCTTGGGGACTCTTGGGGGCTTCTTTGGGTCCTCTCGGGGCCTCTTGGGAGCGTCTTGGGCCGTCTTGGGGCGCTCTTGCGCTGTTTGGCCCCTTCGGTTGCCGTCCTGGTGGCCCCTCGCGGCCGCCTCGCTTCGCTGGGTGCACATCCGGAGCACGTGCAGTCCAGACGTTGTGGGGCCTGGTGGAACTCTTGGATGTATCTTGGGGGCTTCTTGGGGACTCGTGGAGGCTTCTTTGGGTCCTCTTGGGGCCTCTTGGGGGCGTCTTGGGCCGTCTTGGGGCGCTCTTGCGCCGTTTGGCCCCTTCGTTGGCCGTCCTGGGGGCCTCTCGCGGCCGCCTCGGGGCTTTCTTGGGGTCCTCTTGGGCCGTCTTGGGGACCTCCTGGACCGTCTTGGGGGCCTCCTCTGGGCCGTCTTGGGACCAGCTCGGGCCATCTTGGGGCCCTCTTGAGGGGTCCTTGGACGGCTTGGGTCCAATTTGGAGGCTGCTTGGGCCGTCATGGGCTTCTGAGAGTCCTAAAGGCAAGAACGGTACAAGCCTTCAAACACCTAGAATGGAGAAGCAATGATTCTGGACTCTGGAGGCGCTCTTGGGGGTCCTCGTGGGGCCCTCTTGGGGCCTTCTTGGACCGTCTCGGGGCCGTCTTCGTTCGTGTTGAGGCTATATTTAGCCGTCTTGACGGCCTCTTGGACCCCCAAGGCCCCCAAGGGGCCAGATTCGCTGATTCTCTATAGGTTTTCGTACGTTTTTGGGCTCCAGAAGGGGGGGGGGGGCATCCTGGTCGGCGGATGTGGCGTGGCTCCTGGGAGGGGGATTAGGGGGGGACATGCTCAAGACACATCAAGTATTGGATACATTGAACCCGTTGCATTAGGGCTTCCGCTCCGCTGCGCGACCTGCCCTACGGCAACACGTCACTACCGGACGTGGATTGCACAGGTTTGCGCCACATCCGCCGAGCCCTTGCCACTGCATGCGGCCAGACGGCGGGCGATGGCGACGTTCGACGTTCGCCCGACGTTCGAGCGTGAAGGCGACCGTGGACCAGCTCGGCGCTCCCGCTACGTATCGAAGACGCTTACGGCGAATCACCGCCGCCCCCTGCCTTTTTGGACGCGTCTATATGGCCGAACGTTGAGGCCAGACCTGCCAAGCCATCGGACCATGTGTTCCCCGAATCGGTTTGGAAAGCCTTCGGGGAACACGTGGGCATCTTGAAGGTCATCCTGGCCGTCTGGAGGCCATTTTGACCCTTTCGGGCCTTCTTGGAGGACGTCTTGGAGGGCTCTTGGACCGTCTTGGAGGCCATCTTGAGCGTCTTGGAGACCTCTTGGGCCGTCTTGGGGGCATCTTGGGGCCGTGTCTTGGGCCTCTTGGGCGATCTTTGGGGGCACTTGGGCCGTCTCGGGCCGTCGGAAGGCAGGAAAAAAGCAAATGCCACAATCGTTCAAAAACCCATGGGAAATCAATGATTGTGGCCTTTTCGGGCCTTCCTGGAGGCCCTCTTGGAGGCCTCTTGGGCCGTCTTGGGCCATCTTAGGGCCATGTTCTGGTCCGTCTGACGCCGTCGGAAGCAGTTTGGAGGGCCTCTATGGGCCGACTTGGGGCCCCCTTGGACTGCTCCAGGGCCGTCTTGGAGGCCATCTTGGGCGTCTGAAAGGCCCCCTGTGCCGTCTTGGGGGCCTCTTGGGGCCGTCTTGGGGCCCTCTTGGGCCGTTCTGGGGCCATCTTGGATGCCTCTTGGGCGACCTTTCGGCGATCTTTGGGGCCTCTTGGGCCGTCTCGGGCCGTCGGAAGGCCGAAAAGAAGCAAATGTCAAAATCCGTCAAAAACCTGCGGGAAATCAAGGTTTGTGCCCTTTTCTGACCTTCCTGGAGGCCCTCTTGGGGGCTTCTTGGGCCGTCTTGGGCCAGCTTCGAGCCAACTTCGGCCATCTTGGTGGGTTCCTGGCACGTCTGACGCCGTCGGGAGCCGTTTGGGAGGCCTTTCTGGGCCGACTGGGGGCCCTCTTGGGGCGCTTCGGGGCCGTCTTGGAGGCCATCTTGGGCGTCTTGGAGGCCATCTTGGGCGTGTTGGATGCCTTTTGGGCCATCTTGGGGCCCTCTTGTGGCCGTCTTGGAGTCTACTTGGGCCGTCATGGGGCCCTCTTGGGGGCCTCTGGGGCGATCTTGGGGGCCTTTTGGGCCGTCTTGAGCCGTCGGAATGCCGAGAAGAAGCAAATTCCAAAATCCCTCAAAACCCTAAGAAAAATAAATGATTTCGGCCTCTTCGGGCCCTCCTGGAGGACCTCTTGGAGGCCTCTTGGGCCGTCTGGGAGGCCTCTGGGGGGCCTCTTGGGCCGTCTTGGGCCGTCTTGGACTCTCTTGGGCCGTTTTGGAGGCCGTCTTGGACCATCTTGGGCGGACTTGGAGGCCATCTTGGGCCATCTTCGCGATTTTCTGAGGATGTCCCGAGCGAAACGGCCGTTTCAGGCATTGACTGACGCAGTTTCCGGGTGGCCGGCGGGACGTGCCGGAACCCCAGGGGGTGTTCTTTTGGAAAAAGAGCCAAAACCAAAACCGAGAGGGTTCGGCACGCCAGGCACCCCTGCGATGAATCGACAGGGGGCGGCGGATCGAATGGCCTTCGGCCCATCCCGCCACCGTGGTTGCGTTGTGGATCATGGGGCGCAGATCCGAGCCGTAATAGATGCGGATGCCGCTACCCTTGCCTCGGTTTCGCCCTCTGGGGCCTCCTGGGTGGCCTCCGTGGCCACCGCTGGATTCACTTCGACATGCTGGTCAGAACGCACCCCAGGGCAGGTCTGGGGAGTAGCGGTGATGGTACCTTTTAGTTTCGCCACCTTCGTCGTTCCTCATCCTCGTCTTCCTCCTCCTCCTCCTCCTCCTCCTCCTCCTCCTCCTCCTCCTCCTCCTCCTCCTCCTCCTCCTCCTCCTCCCCCAGGGGGGCGGCGCTAGGGCACGGAGTGGTTCACGCTTCGCGCAGCGCGGAGCGCGAGCTCAACTGCCCTTGCCAGAAGGTGGCGGCCGAGGGTGCAGTGCTCTCAAAATCACCACCCACCAAACCACCCCAACCCAACCCGAAGGCCCAAATTTATCTTCGATTTCCAGTGGGGGGGGGTCAGGGAACATTGAAAAAACACATGGAACCCGTACCCCCCCCAACCCGAAATTCGGGTCAAATTCGGGTCTTCGGGTTGGGTTGGGGTGGTCTGGTAGGTAGTCAAAAACGCTGAAGTTCGAAGCAGGAAAAGCGGCTGAAGCATCAACAGTGAGGTCCTCGCGGTTGTCTTGGATGTGCGTTGTGCCCAGGAGGGGAGGGGGGCCCAGCGCTGATCCCAGGAATCCGCGCAGCCTCTAAACGCGTATGTTTCCGCCGAGGTTGGTTGTCCAGAAGTGCGGAGCAGTTTGGGCTCGGACGGGGCTTGCTGTTCTTTGTGTCCTCACATGACAGTTCCCCCAGCGCTCCTCCTGCACCCGGGAGCTTCTTGGGCTGAAGGTGGGCGCCAGTCTCTCAGCGCTTCTGAGTAGCACGATGATGCAATGATGGTGGGGTGCTCAGGAGAGGGCCTCCTCCTCCTCCTCCTCCTCCTCCTCCTCCTCCTCCTCCTCCTCCTCCTCCTCCTCCTCCTGCCTCGCTTTCGGCGCATTTTTGATTTCCGCGGCAGCTGGCAGAAGGTCTGCGGGGGCACAGCGGCGGGGGCCCGCCCGCGCAAGGGGTGCGGAAGGCGGCGTAGACAAACGTGAGGCGGTAGTTTCTCATGTGTTCGGCCACGCGCAGAGGGGGGGTTGGGGAGGGGGAAAGGCTCCTTAATAGCACCCCGGCTTCTTGGAAGGCGCGGGCCGTATCTAAATCTATATATATATATATACATATACATGTGTATGTACATATATATATATATATACACATGTAAGGCCCGCGCCTTCTAAGAAGCAACCTTCTCCTAAGAAGCATTCCCCCCGTCCTACCCCCTTCTGCGCGCCGCCAAAGTGTGTCCATGTTTTTTGGAGTCGCCCATAGGAGATCCGATCCTGCAGAGAAGGAGGAGGAGGAGGAAGAGGAGGAGGAGGAGGACGAGGAGGAGGAGGAGGAGGAGGAGGAGGAGGAAGGGTAGGACAGTACCCGGCCGGGGAGGCTGAGCCTGAGCAAGCGCCGCGCCAGCGTACGGCACCTCTGTGCGCAGCCGCTCCGCGGGCGGGATGGGCTCGGACGCGTTCTCTCACGATTCCCGTTCTGGCCGCCGAAACGCCGAGGCATTCGCAGTAGCAGTGGTTGTCGGGGGAGGAGTTGGTCTAGGCTTAAGTCGGGCCTGTCCCCCTACAGGGGGATTTTCGACGACAAATATAAAATACTCCCAAAATAATCCAAACATTGTCCAAAAATAGCCGGGGGACAATTTTTGAGTATTGTTTTACCTTTTTGGGGCATGTTTGGGGTATTTTTTTAATTTTTCGTCGAAAATCCCCCTGTATGGGGACACGCCCGACATAAGTCTAGGCCTCCCGGTGGGGTTCGGAGCAGATGGGGTCGGAGGATCGCGCCGCATCGCAGATGCCTCGCCGATGCGGCTCGATGTGGGGCCCGATTTGCTTCAAGTCGACGTCGCCGATGCACCGCCGATGCATTGCCGATGTATTGGGGATGCGGCGCGATCCTCCGACCCCATCTACTTCGACTCTATCTAGGAGGTTCTGGTTGGACGGGCGTTCGACATCCGCTTCCACGACCCAGGCGGGTTGTCGAGTGAGACTCCCGCTGGTTCAGGTGTCGCGGAAGGCCTCTTCCGCTAAATCTTTCACTTCGTCCCCATATCACTTGACTCGGCCGTCTTCTGCGCATCTTCTCGGTCTCCTCGACGTCGTCCTCCTCGTCGCTCTCCACCTCAATCTCGTTTGAGTACCCCAGGACCCAGCCAGAGGACCGAGGAGGAGGGCAGAGAAGCAGGAGAGGGGGGAGGCACAGGGACGTCCAAGGAGGGCCTCCAGAGATCTTTGGAGCCCTTCGGAGGGACCCACGGAGCAAGGAGGGCGAGGGAGGGGGAGGGCCGAGGAGGGAGAGGAGGCGGAGGCGGAGGCGGAGGCGGAGGAGGAGGAAGAGGAGGAGGAGGAGGAGAAGACAGATCAGAGACCCTGGGACAAGTCGGCCTCCGCCGCCGTTCGCGACGTCCGGCGGACGCCACCAGGTCATCTGGTGCGACCAGCGGGCTTTCAAGTCGGACCGGCTGCTGGGTCGTCGTCGTCGCCGTTGTTGTCGTCCCTTTGTTCTCCTCCCTCTCTCGACCTCCTCCCTTCTCCCCTCAACCTCCTCTCCCTTCTCCCCTCCTCCTCCTCCTCCTCCTCCTCCTCCTCCTCCTCCTCCTCCTCCTCCCTCCACCTCCTCCCTCCTCTCCCTCCTCCTTCCTTCCCCACCTACACCTCCCTTCACGCTTCTTGCCCTCGCGCGCTGCTGCGCGCGGGAGGTCGGAAGAGGAGGACGAGGAAGAGATTGGACGAGGAGGAGGGGTAGTTAGCAGGAGGAGGAGCAGGACGAGTCCAGGAGAGTTCCGAGAGCGTACTTCGAGGCAGAGGCGGAAGAGGATGATGATGATGATGCGCAGGAGGAGGAGGAGGAGGAGGAGGAGGAGGAGGAGGAGGAGGAGGAGGAGGAGAAAGAGGAGGAGCAGGAGGAGGAGGAGGAGGACCACGACGACGACGACAACCAGGGTGTATTAGTGCTGCGCGAATGTTGCGTACAAGTGTGTTGAAACTGCGCATGCTGCCACAGCCAGAATATGCTTCTGCGCGGGGAATGAGCCGAGACAGGCGGGAGCGAACAAATCCGGGCGAGCCTGTCGAACCCGGTCCTTGCCGCCGACCCCGGCCCCTGCGAGAGCTTGGCCTCGACGCTGCCGCCGGCAGAAAGCGCTCCTGGAGAATCGGCGGGCCATCTGGCTCCGATCGAGGAATGGAACGCTGCACAGACATACATCGTCGCATCGTCGGGCCACTGGCGGCGCTGGAGGCGCCGCCCCTGGGGGACCAGCGCCGATCCAAGAACTCCGTGAGGAGCTCTCAGAATTTGTTATGGTGCCGCTTCTTGATCTTCGATTCGACTTAATCGCAGCACCTCGATCCTTCGCCAGTGGCAGCGCGAAGGCCGCAGTCTGGCGCCAGCAGGCGGCGGCAGCAGGACCTCGCCCGCGACCGGCCCCGTCGCATGCCTCGCGTCGGTGAGGAGGACCGCCGTGGCCGTGGCGAGCAAGAGCGCAACGAGAGGTCATCCCTTATAGGGTGCCACATGCGAGCCCTACCCCTACCCCCCACGATTTCTGAGGGGGAGGGGGAGGTTCACTCTGTTCGGGAGCCCCCGAGCGAAGTGAGCCCCACCCTCCCCCTCAGAAATCGTGGGGGGTAGGGGTAGGGTTCCCATGTGGCCCCCCCCACCTGAGGGATCCCTGCCTGCCCTTCTGCTCTCGCGAGGAGGAGACCTGCCCTGCGCCTCGCGCAGTGAAGCAGCGCCCGGCACAGGGCGTGGATCGCGCCAGGCGGCCTTCACCATCTCTCCGGAGGGGGAAAGACACACAGACACATTCAATTGTTGACTCCCAGGAAAATCAGGGAGCATATTGGAAATGGGGGGGAGACAAAAAACCCAGAACATACGGGAAAATATCGGAATCCTGCGAGTTGTGTGTAATCGTTGGTGTGTTTGTGGGCCCCTTCAATCTTTCCTGGCAGCACGCGAAGGCACACAGCCCGCCGCAGAGAGGCGCGGGGCCCCCAGAGAGCCTCTGCGACCCGCTGGGCCCTCCGTGAGTGCAGTGGAGTGGGGCAGCTGTGTCGGCTGGACATCAGAGCCTCCTGTCTTGGCGCTCCAGGGGCCTCTCCACATCCCTCCTCCTCCTCCTCCTCCTCCTCCTCCTCCTCCTCCTCCTCCTCCCTCCTCCTCCTCCTCCTCCTCCCCCTCCTCCTCCTCTCCTCCCCTCCTACTCCTCCTCCTCCTCCCCTCCCCTCCTCCTCCTCCTCCTCCTCCTCCCCCTCCCCCTCCCCTCCCTCCTCCTCCTCCACCTCCTCCTCCCCCCCCCTCCTCCTCCGCCTCCCCCTCCTCGTGTCCTGGACATCAGAGCCTTCTGTCTTGTCCGCTGGACATCAGAGCCTGCTGTTGTGCGGCGCGCAGAAGAGGGGGAGTGTCAGCGGGGCGGCCATCAAAGAAGGCATCTCGCCTCTTCGAAGGCGTGGGGCGCGATGACTTCAAGTGGCCAGTCGCATGTAAGGGGCCCTCTGCACTTTCAGAAGTCCCCTCCTCAGTCTAGCCCCCAAGCCAGAATGGACTTCAATGGGGGCCAGTCCAATCTGTGTGAGGCCCCCTTGCCCTCTCAGAAGACCACTTCTCAGCCTAGCCCCCTAGCCAGAAGGGGGGGAGGAGGACGAGGAGGAGGGTGGGCGCCGTGAGTGACGAGCTTGCTTCGCTGTGCGTTCCCGTGGCTTCATGGCTGGAGACGGCGTGGCCACACGACTCTCTCGCGAGTTCTTGTGGGTGGCTCGGGCGCGCAGGTAGACCAGAGAAGATGTGGTTCGCGAGAGAGAGAGAGAGAGAGAGAGTGAGAGAGAAGAGAGAGAGAGAGAGAGAGAGAGAGAGTCAAGCCAGGTCCGAGCCGATTCCAGCTCGCTTGCCGACCTCGCTTGGGGTGTCTGGGATCTGGGCGGGCGGTGCGTTCTCCTCCTCGCTCCTCCTCTCTCTTCCTTCTCCTCCCCGCCCCGCCTCGGCCACCTCTCTCCCCCCCCCGCGCCCCGCCCTGCCACTCCCTCTCCGCGGCCGTGCAGGGTTTCCGTGCTTCCTCGGACCGTCGGGTGCGAGGTTCCATTTGGCTACCTGCGATCTCTCTCTCTCTCTCTCTCTTTCTTCCCTCCATCCTTCTCTCTATCTGGCCCCTGGGGAAGCTCCAATGTCCTCTTTTTCCTAGTGGACAGGACCCCCCTAACCAGACAGCGAATGAGTGGGGTTTCCCGAGGGTGGTTATGGGCTTCTGCCTCGGAGACGAGCCCCAACCAGGCCCAGATCGTCCCTCTGCTCCTTGGCCTGGTCAGGGTTTCCCTGCTCCGAGCTCCTCCTCCTAGGTGACGAAGATGTCTGCCAGGAGCTGCTGTAGCGGCTAAGGCACCCGACGCAGCGCAATTGAGCGTGCGTGTTGGCGCCATGCCGTCAAGCTGAAGCAAAAGCTGCGTCACGGCGCTACTATGCAGCATTTTCTCCATTGTATCTTCGACTCTGTCCGCCATCTCTGTTTCAGCTGCTCATCGTCCCCACCCCTCCCTCGTTCAAGCTCTTCCTCCCCTTCCCCCCCCCTGCCTCCGCCCCAGGACTCCAATTCGCTCCGAGCCGAGCTCGATGGCGCAACCCAGTTGCAGGCCAAGGCTTCCTCCCTCCCGCCCCTCTCCCCGCCCTCCCTCGCGGCGACGACGGCGACGGCGACGGCGACGGCAACGGCAACGGCGACGGCGACGGCGACGACGACGACGACGAGTCGACGACGACGACGACGACGACGACGACGACGACGACGACGACGACGACGACGACGACGACGACCAGATCTTCGACGAACCGCTTTTCTCAATTCGAGCGTGGTTCCTCGATTTCGGCCTCCAGGGCCCGTTATCCTGCCCCGGGAATGTCGACTATGGATCCCCCGCGAAAAAGTGGCCCCAGGGCAGGAGGGGGGGGGGGGGCAGGACCTCTGGGGCCGCGAACTGATACATCACGCGGAGACAGTCCAGGCCGGGGGGGGCCGAGCGCTCGATCCCGCGCGGCGGCGTCTCTCGGACGAGAATCGGCCACGCGCAGAGGGGGGTAGGGGGAAGGGGGGGACGCTTATTAGAAGCGCCCCTGCTTCTTAGGAGGCGCGGGCCTTCTCTGTACATGCGAGGCCGGCGCCTTCTAAGAAGCAGCCCCCTCGCAATAAGCCTTCCCCCTCCCCTTACCTCCCTCTGCGCGCCGCCAAGATCGGGCGATCGCAAACATGGATCAATGGGGCGTGGATTAGCGACGGGTCCCGCTTCCACGGGGAAGATCGCGCATTTCCGCCGCCGAGCGAGGCGGCAGCGGCCGCATTTTGGGGAGGGCACTTCCCCCGATCCATGGATTTGGCGACCGCGCGCCAAGTCCATGGATCGCTACTCCATGTTTGCGCGCCCCCGACGAGAGAAAGAGGAGCGATGGTACGTCAAGTTTCCATGCTGCCGCAAGGGGGCACCACGGGAGGCACGAAGTGTGGCTCCTCCGACCGCGGCAGGCCTCGGCCACGGGAAGGTCCCCCGACCTGGCTCTAGAGCTAAGTCGGGCATGTTCCTCTACAGGAGAAACATTCAAGACATAGTTTAACAATACGCTGGGGACGATTTTTCGTTTCTTTCTGACTAGTTTAGAAATGTGTTGACTATTTTTCGTTTTCACAATTTTGGATATTTGTTTCACTGCTTTGGATATTTGTTTCAGAAATGTGTTGACTAAATGATTATGTGTTGGATATTTGTTTCACTATTTTTTGATAATTTAGAAATTTGTTTGTTTTTTCCCTGTAGGAGGACATGCCCGACCTGAATCTAAGGAGCGGCCCGAAGACCACGGGCACTCCCGAGCCCGGAGCGCAAACGGGGCTCAGCCTTGATGCATCCTGGGTTTACTCTGGGACGGGAGGGGTGCATTACAGCATCCTTGATGCATCCTGGGTTTACTCTGGTCTTCCTCCTCCTGCCCCTCCTTGTCCTCCTCATACTCGCACTCCTCCTCCTCCTCCTCCTCCTCCTCCTCCTCCTCCTCCTCCTCCTGCAGGACCTGACCTTGCAGCGCCAGTGTTTGGCCGAGCTGGGCTCGGGAGCCGCTCGCGGCCAGGGGGTGGCTCCAGCAGCATCAAGATCCATAGCAAGGATGCGCTGCGTCATCAAGGCTGCCCTTTCGTATCCCTGCTTTTCGGCACATCCTGAGACAATGCTGACGTCTAAGATCGGGGGAGCGTAAGACCCGGTTTTGCCAGGACTCGGGTTCGCCATCGTTTTTTGACGACCGCGATTCGGATTTTGACGAGTAGGAGTTTCGTGGGGTGTCTGCAGCGGGAGGCCTCGTCAAAATGCAGGCTCGGCCTCGTCATTTGTTTGACGACCTCGTCGGGGATTTCCGAGTCACCCGTACCCGGGTCTTACGTCTCCCCGATAAGAGCTTTGGATGGACATTCGAGGGCGGCAAAGAGGGGGGTGATGACTAGGGGGGGGTGGATATCATGGCGTGGGCCGTGATATTTCCCCAGGTTTCATGGCGCCTCTTCTTATTTCATTGCGTCCCCAGCCCCCCCCCCTTGGCCGCGCACGTGCCGCCGGTCATGCTGTGCACCCCTCCCTCTCTCTGACGCCCCCCTTTTGGCCGCTCCCGAGACATGGCGCTTCCAACGTGTCCTTGCCTTGGCAACCTTCCTGTGGAGCCGGGCTCGGGACGCCCCCACGCAAATCGCAGCGCATCTGGAGGTTTCCAGTCAGGGCTTCCCGGCGGCGCCGTTCTCGCTCGCCACATGCTGGCGCGGGGGCGCCGGCCGTCAACGGAGAGAAGGCACGCCCGCAAAGATTTTCCGAATCGGCAGAGCGGTGCCGCGCGCGGCTGCTCGCCGCGGGCCCCCCTTGGGGGGCCCTTCGCGGACCGAGCCCCGGGGCTGCGGGGAGGCGCGAGCGACGGCGGCGCGCCCGATGGGAAGGGGCAGGCGCCGCCGCCCCTCCTCTTGCAGGAGGGGAAAGAGCACACACAGGCACAATGACTCGTCGACTCCCCAGAAAACATGGGGAAATGTGGGAAGTGGGGGGGAAGACGAAGACCCAGAAACTATGGAACATATGGGGAATCTTTTTATTTGTGTGTATTTGTTGATGTGTCCCAGGGCCCCTTCAGATTCTTGTGAAACGTGGATTCAGAGGTTGGGTAGCAGAGGCGGGCCAGGGGAGCCCGAGCAGCACAGGGCGCGACATGGGCTCAGCGTGGCACGCAGGGGGCTCGCGAGTGTCCAGAAGCTGCCCAGGATGGCCCCGCGATGTCCGCATGCAACGGCAGAGGCCGCGCAGGTGTCGACAGCAAAGTGGGGCTCAGCGTGTGAGAGGACGGATTCATCCGATCGCTTTGCTCACTCTGTCGGCCCAAACTGTATGTAGTGTTCAGTGGATTTCGGCCAAGCTGGCCCCTTGGAGGTCCCTTTGAGTGCTCCTGGAGAACTATGGGGGGCCTCGAAGGCCGCGCCCAGGACGAGAACCCTCTCTGAACCGAGTCTGCCACGAGAGGTAGAGCGCCACATGGGAAGGGTTTATTCCCGCAGCAGTGCTTGCACTTAAGGTTTCGCATTCGTCTTCTCAAGAAACTTGTTAGGTCCGGCGAGGATTCTTCACGTTGCCGCCCGGTGCCGCCTCGTTGCTGCCTCGTGCGCTGGGTTGGTCCGGCGAGCCGGCGAGGTTTCGCCACGTTGCCGCCCGGTTCCGCCTTGTTTCCGCTTCGTGCGCTGAGTGGGTTCGGCGAGGTTTCGCCGTGTTGCCGCCCGTTGCTGCTTCGTTGCCGCCTATGGCTTGCACCGCGTCTACTGCACCACATATCTTGTACCACATAACCTGTACAACTTGACATCCACAGTGCTTGGTGCGATTGGTGTCGCGTGAAGACGCTTCTTTTTCGTCGCCCTGCTTTCGGGCGATGTTTGTGTAGAGGCTGTTTACGGAATTCCCATTGTTCGTTGTATCACTTGCATGGTGGTGGTTGTGGCGGCGATGTTGATGTTGATGACGATGATGATGATGATGATGATGATGATGATGATGATGATGATGATGATGATGATGATGATGATGATGATGATGATGATGATGATGACAATGATGATGATGATGACAATGATGATGATGATGCTGATGCTGCTGATGCTGATGCTGATGATGCTGCTGATGATGATAATGATGCTGATGTTGATGATGATTATGATGATGATTATTCTGAGAGTGATGATGGCGGTGATGGTGATGGAGTTGATGAAGCAGTGAACCATCATACTTAGACGTATGACCCGTTTATCCCGTAAGTTCTCAAACCCTTAAGGCCGTAATTTTTAAACCCTCCAAGGCCCTATACCCTCAAGCACCTTAGCCGTTCAAACCCTTGAGTCCTTAAGCCCTTCAGCCCGGAAGCCCTACAACTCTTGAGTGCTTGAAGGTTTTAACATTTAAACACCTAAGCCCCTGACATTTACACCTTTAGGCCCATAAACCCTTTCGCAATGACACCTGTGAACCAAAATTGTTTAATGAACCCCTCAAGCCCTTCAGCCTTGCAACTCATAATCTTTCAAGCCTTAAACACTTCAACCCTCAAGCCCTTGAACCATTGATCCCTGTAACCCTTGAGCCCCTAACCCCTTAATTCAGCCCCTTAGCTCTTACAGTAACATTCCCGGACAAACCTGGTACATTTTCCAAGCCAGGCAATCATGTTAGCTTCTGGAATAAGTGTGCAGGCGTACGCAGAACATTTGGTTTTGAGATATCCCAGCGTCGCCTCACATATAAGCCCAGACAGTGACTTCATTCGGAAGGCTGGAATTAGTACCAGTTTTTTTCCCCAAGTCGGTCGGGGAAGTTACCAGCTGGTTGGGATTAGCCCGAGTCGATAGGAATTAGCACCGCATGCCTCCCTCCCCCCCGGCGAACGTCGAGAAATTTTTACCGCGTCAGTTTGTAGGTTGCGCGGGGGTTTCTCAAAATTTGGTGCGGGTGCCACTGTTTGCATTTCCTCATAACTCCTTCTATGGCGCACCCAGTATTTCCTTCCAGGCCCGCGCCTCCTTCTCCCCCGCGTCGACTGTAGAACAACTCCTGCGCGGTTTGTTTATCCGCTGCGCAGGAGTTGCTCGAAGTGGCTCCGCCCGCAGGGAGGCCCCCCCTCACTCCCCCAGCCTCGGCGAATTCCGGGAAACACCTGCGACGTCAGTTCGTATGCTGCGCGGGAGTTTCTCGCAATTTGGCGAGGTTGCTGCTGCCAGCATGTCTGCACGATCTTTCCTTTGTCGCACTCGGTATTTTTCTCCATGGCCGCGACCCGCGGCGTCAGATTGTTGCCCGCGCCAGAGTTTTCTTAATTTCGGCGCGGGCGCCGCCGCTGGCTCGAATTTCATCGTGATCTTCTATTGCGCGCGAAGCGTGTCACTCCCAGCCCGCGCGCCCCTTCCCCGTCGCCGCGTTCGAGAGACTGCGCAGGAGTTCCTCGAGGTGGTCCCCGCCCGCGAGGGGGCGCCCCTTCCCGCCCCCCCCCCCCTTCCACCCCCCAGCAAATCAAAGGACGTTCGCGCGGCGGCAGTTCGTGGGCTGCGCGGGCATTCTCGCAATTCTGCGCGGGCGCCACATCGCGCATCTCCTCGCGGCCCCTTTGACTGCGCGCGAAGCGTCCCCGCTGAGCGCGCCCTGCCGGGCTCGCCCCCCACGTCCGCCCCCCGCGGCGAATGGATTACTTCCCGCGCGGTCACAAGACGCGCTGCGCAGGAATCTCTCGCGCTGACCCCCGCTCGCAGGGAGGGCCCGCGCGCCCCCCCCCCCCGCGGCGAATTTCGAGACCCCCGCGGCGTGAGTTTGCAGGCCGCGCGCGAGTTTGTCTGCGTTCGGCGCAGGTGCCGTGTCTGGCATTTCCTTGTGATCTCTCATGCAGCGCATTAAGCATGCACCCCCCAGGCCCGCCACATCCTCTCTCCCGCGGCGAAGTTCGAGCAATTCATGCGCGATGTGTTTATGCGCTGCGCAGGAGTGCTTCGAAATTTGTCCCGCCCGCAAGGAGGGCCCGCGCCGCCCCCCTCCCTCCGCTGCGAATTTAGAGAAACTCTTGCGGCGCCAGTTTGGAGGCCGCGCTGGGACTTTTCGCAATTCGGCTCGGGTGCAGCTGTCGGCGTTTTCCCATGAACCCTTTATATTGCCATTCAGGGTGCCCCTCCCGGCCAGCGCCCCCCCCCCCCGCGGCGAACTGCGAGAATCTCTCGCGCGGGCAGTTTCTAGGCTGCGCGGGAGTTCCTCGAAATGGCGCCCGCCCGCAAAGACGGCGCGCGGTCGAGCCCCCCCCCTTCCCCCGCGGCGAACTTCGAGAAATTATTGCTGCATCCCTGTGTTGTTTGCCGCGCCGACGTGTAGGTTGCTGGAGAGTTTGTCGAAATTCTGCGCCGCGCGCGCCGTTGCTGGCGTTTCTTAATCGCCCCTCCGATTGCGCATTGAGCGTGTCTGTCCAGGCCCGCCGCCCCCCCTTCGCTCGGGGCGACTTTCGGGGGACTCCTGCGCGGCCAGTCCGTAGGCTGCGCGGGAGTTTATCGAATTGGACCCCGCCCGCGCGGAGTGCCTGCGACCCGTACCCCCTCTCCTTTCGCGGCGGATGGCGGGGGGCCTTTGCGGCGCCACATTGCAGGCTGCGCAGGAGTTTCTCGAAGTTCAGCGCGGGTGCCGTGGCTAGCGTTTCCATTCAAGCGCAGCGAATTTCCCCCCAAGCCCGCGCTTCCCATCCTCCGCAGCGACTTTCGATGAGCTCTTGTGTGGTAAATTTATCGGCTGCGCAAGAGTTTCTCGACGTGGCCTCCGCCCGCAAGGAGGGCTCGCTTTGCCCCTCCCCGTCCGTGGAAAACCCAGAGAAATTCACGAATCCCTTCTATGGGGCACGAAGGAATCCCCCCCGGCCCGTGCCTCCCCCTCCCCCGCGGCGAATCGCGAGGAACTCTTTGCGCGGTGCGCCGGGGGGGGTCGGTTCCTCCTGCAGGGAGGGCCCGCGCCCCCCCCCTGGCGGCGAATTTCGAGAAACTCATGCGGAGTCACCTTGGGGGCAACGCGGGAGTTCCTGGAAATAGCGCGCGGGCGCCGCTGCTAACTTGTTTTTGACATTCTTCCCGCTGCGCGCTGAGTATTTTCACCCAGGCCCGCGCCTCTTCCGAAATGGCTTCCGCCCGGAAGGAGTGGCCGCCCAGCGCGCCCCGTGCCCCCCACTTCGCGGCGCATTTCGAGAATTTTGCGCGGGGTCAATTCGTCGGATGCGCAGGGTTTTTTTCGAACTTAGAGGTGGTAGCATTTCCTCATGATCTTTTCTATTGCGCATGAGCGTTTCCTTCCCAGCCCGCGCCTCTTCTTCCACAGCGGCGAATTGTGCGCGGTCAGCTCATAGGCTGCGCAGGAGTTTCTCAATTTGGCGTCCGCCCTCAAGGAGCGCCCGCCCCCCCCCATGCCCCCACGACGAACGTCGAGAAAATGCCCCTGCGGCGCCAGTTTGTGGGAGCATAACAAATCAATTGCGAAAACAAGTTTGGGCGATAACAGCCGTGATCGGCCCTCTCCCCCCTCCCGAGGATCACGCCATGCTATCTTGCTCACGCGCGCAAGAAATTACTGCGGGCTCTGTTTCTTTGTTTCTTCAAAGTTTCGGCGGCCCCCCGTTGTGATGCGATCGGGGGGGGGGCGACCCCCCAGTTCCCCGATCACGCCCGTTATCGCAAATAACCAAAAACAGGCTCCAGGCGGCGCCGGAGTCTCTCGAACATTCGGCGCGGGCGCCGCTGCTATCATTTCTTCATGATCCCGCGTGTTGTGCACCGAATGTGTCCGTCCCTCCAGGCCCGCACCCCCTTCCCCGCGGCGGTTTCCGAGAAGCTCCTGCGTCGTTATTTCTCTTAGGCTGCGCAGGAGTTTCTCGAAATGGTCTCCACCCGCAAGGGGTGTCCGTGTCCGCGCAACGCCCTCCCCCCCCGCGGCGAATGTCGGAGAAGCTCTTGCGTCGTTCGTTTGCAGACTGCGCACATTTTTTTTTTTTTTTTTTTGTGTTCTTCCTCCTTCTCTCGAAATTCGATGGCAGGTGGTGGCGCAGGCGCTCGAGGCACACCAGGTGGGCCCTGCCATGGCACATCAGGTGTTTCGGGGAAAGCTTCAAGCTTGTGCCGAGGGGGGGGGAGGAGGAGGTTGCCCCCCCCGCGGTGCAAGCTTGGAGGTTCTCGAAATGCTTGGCGCGCCATGGAGAACGTGACAAGGAAACGCCTGCGTCACCACCTGCCCGCGGCGTGCCCGCTCAGATTCTGCGGCCGTTTGCATTTTCTATTTCGTTTGCCAATCATTGCGGGGGCACTCGTTGCTCCTGGCCGGAGGCCGTTCCAGTTTGCGCGGGGGTGCTTCCCAATGTGGGGTAGCCCCCCCCCCGCAGGGTAAAACGGTGGCTTTGCAAAAAAACAACCTTTGAAACACCTGCGCCCAGATGGCCAGTGGGATTTGCACGCCGTGCCTGTGCCTGGAGGCCGTCGTCGTCGCCAGAGGGGGGATGGCGTTCAGCTTGTGCACGGCTCTCTCGTGAGGGCTTCCATGTGTTGGGTGAGCACGTGCGGAAGGCGATTGCCGAGGAACCCTGCTATCCCACAGGCGGCAAACAGCGCTCGTGACGCCTGTTCCCCGCGCCTCGCTGTCGCGAGCTGTGTAATGCAGCCGTGTTCCTTTCGAGCAGGCGTGCTGTGCGGCCCGGCTCGTTGGCGATCGGGTTAACTGGCTGGTCTGCGGGGGATCCGTCTGCGCAGCGGCGCGCGGCGGCCCCGGAGGCGCACAAGACTGCCGAGAAATGCATCAGGCTGCTGCAGAAGAAGCGCCGCGCGCGCGAGAAGACAGAGGCGCATCGCGCGCGTTCCGGCAGGGAGGTGGCCGATAGGAGGAGGAGGAGGAGGATGAGGAGGAGGAGGAGGAGGAGGAGGAGGAGGAGGTGGAGGTGGAGGTGGAGGTGAAGGAGGAGGAGGAGGAGGAGGAGGAGGAGGAGGAGGAGAGGAGTCGGAAAAGCGACATGTTGGTGTCATCAGGAGATGGAGGAGAGGCCGAAGAGCAGGAGGAGGATGAGGCGGAGGAGGGAGAGGAGGAGACGGAAAAGGACGAGGAGGAAGAGTTGAATGATGATGCAGGAGTGGAAAGTGAGGATGAGGTTCAAGACGAGCTAGCGGTGGAGGGAAATGAGGAACATGATACGTGATTGCGAAGAACGGAGTGCGACGAGACAGGGGATGATTACGGCGGGGAGAGAAGGAGGAGGAGGCGGTCGATGCAGAAGAAAAGCAATAGGCTAAGAGGAGGGTGAGGAGAAGGAAGATGACCAGTGTAAACCCAAGACATATCAACGATGTTGGAATCATTCCTTCCTCCAAGCTCCCTCAGCATAGGCCCCATGCAAGGAATCATTTCCGCTGAAGGAAGTGCCCCGTTGGGAGACAACCGTTTGAACATCCTGAAGCGTGCCGAAACACCATTATTCGGATTCCAACGCCACGAATCAACTTGACAGTTACGTCTTGTTGATCTTGAGTTGTGCTTGAACACCATTCCTGGGACCTCAATATCGCGGAACAACGTAACTGTCGCGCCCTGAAATTTCTGAACCGTTCCAAAAAAAAACACCATTTATGATACGTCAACCATGAGAACTCGTGAAACCCTTGCACAGGTATAGAACGAACGTGCGCAGCGTTAAGGCGCGAGCCACATTTTGAAAAGGAACCGCCCTCAATCCGCGAAGCTCTTGCAATTGTTCAAAAGGAATTTGCGCGGCGCCAAGGCGAGAGCCACTTTTTGAAAACCACACGCCCGCAGTTCGCGAAGCTCCTGCAAGTGTTCAAAACAAATTTGCGCGGCGCGAAGGCGAGAGCCATTTTTCAAAAACCGCACCCGCAGTCCGTGAAGCTCCTGCAAGCGTGTGAGGCGAATGTGCGCGGCGCCAAGGCGAGAGCCACGTCTTGAAAACCACACGCCCGCAGTCCGTGAAGCTCCTGCGAGCGTTCAAGACGAATTCGCGCGGCGCCAAGGCGAGAGCCACTGCTTGAAAACCACACGCCCGCAGTCCGTGAAGCTCTTGCGAGTGTGTAAGATGAGCGAGCGCCACATTCTGAAAACCACCCGCCCACTTTTGAACATCACCCGGCACTCGGGCCCTTCCTGCGGCCTCTCCGGCGCCCCATGGGGGCTTGCCCAGCGTCTTGGGGGCCCCCTGAGTGAGCTCTCCGCCTCGAGCCTTTTTGGGGGGCCCTGTGGCTTCGTCCTCCCCAGAGATGTGATGCCTTGACTTTTTCAACGCGGGGTCCCAGAAGTCTCGACCCCTTTTGGGGCACCGGCTGTTCGTCCCGAGTGGTTTTTTGTTCGTCCTGAGTGGTTTTTTCGACCCCTTTTGGGGAACCGGCTGTCGTCGGTCCCCAGGGCCAGGCGAGGGCCCTGGAGGTAAAAAAACGGCTTAAGCCGTCCGTCGTGGTCTTTGGCGCAGCGGGGAGGCGGTGCGGGCCTTCGAGCCTGCTCGTCCTGGTGACCATCCGTCCTCGGGAGGCGCTGTCCATCTAGAGATTCCATGGTCCATGGACGTTCGGGGGTGGACAGAGCCCCCACCCTGAGACGTCGATCAGTGACTTGTCCGTTTTCGGTTCTCGAGAGAGGGCGCCGCGGCCGTCGTTGTCCAGGCGTGCGCCCGCCAGGCTTGGGCCCGAGGCAGCTTTTTTTCACTCAGCCACGTTTTGCTAAAGGGGGTTCTGTCTTCTGCTTACTCGCTGCCCCCGTGGCTGCGCGCGAACCGAATCCAGCAAAACGCACGAGGAAACGAACGAGGAAGACGAACCAAGACCCGCGACCCCGCAGAAGCCCCTTTTCCCCGAGTGCACAGCCCCCTAAGAAAGGACGTCCCCGAGAGGCTGAGGGGGTGCTACATGTGCTCCTGGCCCTATGTGCTCCGAGCCTCCCGCGCAACTCTGGGGCACACTGGGCCTCGTGATGGGGTGTTCTGGAGCCCGTGGGGCCCTCTTCGGGAATCCCAGGGGCGCCCTGTTGGTCCAGGGGCGCTCCCGGCAACACCCGAAGAGGTCATCGGGCCAGGCCGCACCGACTCGGTTCGGCTCGGACCACAGTGCCCAGCGGTGGCGGGGCGTCCTGGCTTGCTTATGGGCTCACCAAGGAATGTTCTGAGAACCCGCTGTTGTTTGCGCGATCCGTTATTCGATCATCTATGGCTGAGTCCGTCTTGTTTTGGCACGATGTTTATGCTCTAAGGTCATGTCGTGGCAGGCCTATAGGAATGCTGGGACGGTCGGCCCCTGCTCAACAGTGAGGACGCATATGATACGACGGCCATGTGCTTTTCCTCTGGTTACCCTGGTGTTCTTCGCTCCGCGCGTTGCGCGTCGCGGCCGTTGAAGAAGCTGCTGCGTTCAGCGTGCTCTTGGTTCCCTCCCCACCGTGTGCATCCTTCGCACGGGCTTTCGGGGCTGTGTCTCTTGCGAGGGTTTCTTGCGGCCGTGTCCGCACGTGGCCCCCCTATCTATTTGGCGTCTCTGGGCCCAGAGACACCAAGGCTCCCAAGAAGGCCCAGAGAGGCTCTTGCGAAGCGGGTGGGAGTGGATGGGAGTGGGAGAGGGGGGGAGTGGGAGAGGGGGGCTAGTAGATTCGCAGCGGTGCTCAAGCTCTGGGGTGCTTTGCAGCAGCTCCGCCTCCTCTCTGCCGAGAGGGAGTCTCTAGAGGTGCCCGAGTCGACCCCCCACCGACCGCTGGAGACCCGAGCCACGAGCCGCAAGCCTGACGACGCTGATCGCTCGGGTCGGACGGAAGGGGGAGAATGGGAAAGAGGGCGGGGCACGACATCTGCTACATTCGGCAACGCGCAGAGGGGGGTAGGGGGAGGGAGGAAGGCTTCTTAGAAACACCCCTGCTTCTTAGAAGGCGCGGGCCTTCTCTATAGACGTAAGGCCGAGGCCTTCTAAGAAGCAGGGTGCTTCTAAGAAGCCTTCCCCCCTCCCCCTACCCCCTTTTGCGCGCCGCCAGTACATGCTACTCGGCCCTGCCGTCAGGCACATTCCTTGATACGCGGGCGCCTCCAGCGCCGGGAGGCGCCAGAGAAGTCTGCTACGTGAGCCGATTCGTTTACCCCCACCACTGATTATTCCCCCCCCCGGCGCTGGGAAAGCCAAGAGGCGTCGATTCGCCAGGCCGTTATCGATTACCCTCTCCTTTTCGTCCCACTCG